ACACAACTCACAGGTGCTCTGAAACAAGCATAAATTGTCAAATATCTACCACAATTCCAACACTTCACATGATCGATTAGCTGTGAAAAAAACATATAACACAGAACTCCAGTTCCATTCGTAGAGCTCACAGCTTCGTTGTTATGATTTAGGAAATCACTAAATAATTACCAAAAAATAAAATTAAAAAGAACCCTAATAATGATGTAAAATGATAAAAAACATAAGGGCAATGTCAGTTGACATCTGACAGCAGCATTCCACCAGCACTTCTGAAATTATGAATATAGAGTTTTGTTTTCTTTTCCTGAGGCCATATTATCTCAATCTGGTAAAGCAGACAAACCTTGGAAAGAATGGAAGCTCACGTACCCAAAACATTTAGAAAATTTGTTTGTGTTATGAATAATGCAAATATAGTTCCGAGATATCTAATTTGCCTGAAGACTGAAGAGCAGTGACAGTGAGAGAAATGTTCGGACACGCCTAAGAGCTGGACTTTTTGATGACGTCTTCGGGTGACGTCATGTCGTGTGTGACGTTTCGTGAGCAGGTAAGGAAAAGTCACCACCGCTGGCGAACATTGGTGCGGTAAATGGCAAACACAAATGCTGCGCAGAAAAGACAAATGTGTAACTTCACAACATTCGTTCGGACGACAATGTCAAGGCGAATCAAGAAGTTCTTCATGCGATTGTTAGTTATCTGTCGTGCTATTTTAGTATGATTGTTATTAGCAGTTGTTTTGTGAAATGTATTATCAAAATCAATGTTTATTGAAATCAGATTCAGTTTATTTTCAGATGTACCTAGGTACCCTTACACTTCACTCATCTCAAGCTGTTCAAACACCCTTTTTCTTTTGTCTATTATACAATGAGCCAAAGGCTATTACTTGCTTATCTTTTTATAATTTATACTGTGTTTTCTCTGCATTATTAACATATTCATCATATATACAATATAAGGGCCACATGCTTTTTACAGGGAGACATGTCAGACAGCCCAGTAGGATGAGGCTTCGTCAAGCGTCATTTTTAGCAACGCTTTTCTTGCTTAAAATCCAGTCTGCGAAACATGGCAGGGCTTACACTTTGGCTTACCCTTGACTCCCAGCTGTTGTGTCTTTGCTATGCGATGTTAAACATATAAAACATCTTACTATTCATGTATGCGCCATGACTCATGTAATCTTTTCACAGCCAAGACGCTCCTAAGGTACTGGGAATGTGGGGAGTGCAGCAGCATCAGTGCAGCACCGATGGTGGGATGCGACGGCTGCGATAAATGGTACCACTTCCGTTGTGCGGGACTGACTAAAGAGCCAGGTAAGCGCAAATGTTTTCTGTCTCAGTTTTTTTGTTGCAGCTATAGTGATCAATGAAATATTTTCCGCACTGTTCAGCCAAACATGTATTTCAAACAATCTGCTTCCCAACCGAGGGCGTCGCCACAGAGGGGGGGGGGAACGGAAGGGATCTCGTCCCCTCCACTTTTTAAAATTTTAACATCACGCCTATGGCGTTGCATGGAAAGAATCGACTTGAAATGGTCCTCGTCCCCTCCAAAATGGTCAATGTCCCCTCCAGTCGTCGCACCGTGGCGTCGCCCCTGTTCCCAACTACACAAATTTAGTCAAACAATGTGCCAATATGGAATTTTCAGGTTCAGTTGAATGAAATAGGAACAATGATAATTGTAGATTACGTATACCTGCAAGAGAGGAAAACAGAATTCATTGTATTGCTTGTCCTTCACCGATACTGTTATTTTTCCATTTCTAGAAACACCGACATGGCGATGCAGGTGGTACTGCCTGGTGAGGCTGCGGTCTCCGGAATCGCCTGCAGACGAAGTCACCTGGCGTCCATCTGCACATCACTTGCAGCAGTGAGGCCTGCTGACAGCGTCTGGCAGTGTCGGCAACGTGCCAGACGCACGTTCGCACGCACTGCGTGCCTGTGCCCGCCGTGAGCCGCTAGTGCATGGGTTCGACCATGGGAATATGTGTTTATGTTGCTTTTACTATTGTTTATACGTTGAAGTGACGAATTGTTTATTTTTCGCAAGCCTCCGCTGTCCGGTTGCCTGCAGCTCCATGCAACGCCAGCTGTACTGTTGTTTTAATGTTGTCTCTCCGCTCAGCTGTACTGTTGCCTCTCCGCTCATAACAACCTATGCTGAGACAACGCCCATGACGTGTGATCCGGCACCGCTACCGCACTGCGTGCCTGTGCCCGCCGTGAGCCGCTAGTGCATGGGTTCGACCATGAGAATATGTGTTTATGTTGCTTTTTATACTATTGTTTATACGTTGAAGTGACGAATTGTTTATTTTTCGCAAGCCTCCGCTGTCCGGTTGCCTGCAGCTCCATGCAACGCCAGCTGTACTGTTGTTTTAATGTTGTCTCTCCGCTCAGCTGTACTGTTGCCTCTCCGCTCATAACAACCTATGCTGAGACAACGCCCATGACGTGTGATCCGGCACCGCTACCGCACTGCGTGCCTGTGCCCGCCGTGAGCCGCTAGTGCATGGGTTCGACCATGAGAATATGTGTTTATGTTGCTTTTTATACTATTGTTTATACGTTGAAGTGACGAATTGTTTATTTTTCGCAAGCCTCCGCTGTCCGGTTGCCTGCAGCTCCATGCAACGCCAGCTGTACTGTTGTTTTAATGTTGTCTCTCCGCTCAGCTGTACTGTTGCCTCTCCGCTCATATATGACACCCTCTATATGAATGGCACTACTGATTGTCACACCCACTGTCCGTATTGTCCGTAGTGGTGTCTACGCCCATGTTAATACAGCGTGCAGAATCCATATTCTATTGAGGAGAGTTGAGCCAAGTCACCATAGGCTCGGGAAGAGAGCAACCTGGAGGCCCACTGCCCCTTCCCCGGCCCCCACTGGGGGCGCCAGCCACTCCAACTTTTGACTGGATGTCAAGAGCGTCGCCACGAGGGGAACGAGTCGCCGGCCAGCCAAGGTAGCCAACGGCGTGTGAAGGTTGCCTGACCTCGAGGAAACTGAGATGGCACCAACGGAGGTTTTGTTAAGTAGGCGACCAAAATTCGAGCGGCAGCAACCTGGGCACCTTCACAGATAGCAGTGCCGCGTATCAGGGCGCCTTCGACGTTGAGCTGGGCGTCGATCATCAGGACGCCGGGGGAATATGACCCAATATCCCCCGTAAATATGTGCCTCGGAAGGGAGACCCAACCATAAAACTGAAAGCTCGCCGTATTTTATCCACTATTTTTCGAGCAGGTCCATAGATTTCCGTCCTCAAAAGTGCGGGGATATTCCCCAGTGTTTGAGTTGGATGGGACTATAGTGGCGTTTACACCGACAGGAGATTCCCATTGCCGGCTGTGGGAAACTACTGTCGGTGTAAACGCCATTCATATTTCCTGCGTCACCCCTGTGGGGACGCCCTTACTCCATGGTGCCGAGCTTATCAATTTAGATATCAATGGCATCAAAATCTCTTATCGATCGATGAAGAACTAAATTACCCCGACCCGGAGAGCGTCTTTGGAATCAAAGCAGTAGCACATGACGCAAGACTTCAGGCAAATAAATCCTTCTTGTCTGAAATAAAACATTTGTGTATTGATAAGCACGTTTTATAAGCAATGGTAGCAAGATTCTCCATGTATTTGGTTAAAGTGATAATTTAGTAGCAGATACTTACCGTCGCATTTCGTTTTTTTTTAATTAATAATTTATATTGTCAGAACTAGCAACATGTCTCTTCACTCAACAATAATTACAAAAGTGAAAAAGAAATGATAAATTGCTTATATTTTGGTGAAACTAAAAATTAATTCAGCACATATTTTTTTTACAGCGTTGAAGTCCAGCTCCAAAGGACAGCTGACGATCGTAGCCGAGCAGGCTGTTTGGTACTTCTTCACTACTTCTTAGAAGTACCCGTTAGTACCGATCATGTCTCACATAATAAGCTATTGGAACAAAAATATCCGTGTTCTTCTAATTATTCTCCTTTTACACTTTAAATAAATACTTTTGAAATGCATTTACTAATTAATTTCACAAAAACGGCTTGAAATTTTACAACGTCAAAATACTTATTCCAATTTCCACCATGAAACCACCACTATATTACTTGCTTACAGACCCGTGCGCACAGTGCGCGCAGTTTTATCGTGACGTCAGAGGGTGCTTCCTCAGTGGCGCCCCCTGGCGGGGAACGCGTGCAAAAAGTCCAGCTCTTAGGCATGTCCGAAATGTTCTGTTGTATTGGAGTGGAGGCAATGTAAGGGCATGCAAATCAAGGAAGGTTGCACCCATTTTTCTTGTTTGCCAGGCTAAAATTGGTATCAATCTACTTATTTTGGCTTAATACTGGCATGAAGCTTGCCTTGAAACAAAAGAAAGTCTAGACACTCGTACCAATACCAATGCTGATGTCAATGTCAAGAACACGAACGTGGACAGGAATTGAATATTGGCTATAGGAATTCAAGTGCAACCAAGGCAAAGCATTGGCTGGAGTTATTTTAAAAGGCATCTTAAAAATATACTCAAGTTAATCGATACTGATTCTGATGCCTTTGTCATCGTTCCTGAAGCAGCGCATTGGAATCCACAACCACAGCATAAGAAATAACTACCAGAATTTATAAAAACTACACCGTTGAGTGCGATTCAATATAGCATTTGTAGATATCAACTAAAAATTACCGACCTTTTCTGCCCTAAAGATGAAGACGCACATGCAGCACACCGGAAACCCGTCGGTCCAAGGCCGTATAGGAGGTAAACTCGTCAGGCGGTTTGTTTACATTTGCTCAGCTGACGAAATGACGTCAAAGGTCGTCCACCCTCACGGATCAGGCAGCCGCATGCAGTACAATATGCGGACGTTTTTGGGAATTGAGACGACTTTAGCGATATTGAACGATTAAATTACGTTATACCAGCTTCTACAAACCTGCAAACCGGTTTATGCTAACGTGGTGCCACAAAAACCAGTGTGGAAGGAGTTTATATTGATGCATTATCGGCTGGAAAAACACCATAACTTCGACCGTAGCCGACTGAGCCAACATTGACCTATGCTTGGTTATGGGTCGGCATAGTTGCCAGAATGTCATAATTTACGCGGATTTGAACAACAACTATAGCATTAGACGTACGATTACGAGGTTTTGCTCACAACAGTTAGGTATACCGAGCAGAGCATATACCCGGCCGGGGCACCAGCGCCGAAACTGAAGCGTGAACGGTGGCCTGCGACAGGAACGCATATGGCTGCCAGTGATACGGTATGTGGTGGCGCATCGGATGCAGCCCGGCCACTTTCGGTCCAGAACTGGCAGCCATTCGTTGGTCCCAGTCCAGCTGCCTCAATCGGTCCCGGTTTAGACGCCTTTGCCGGCCCCGGTTCAGACGTCTCAGTCTTTCCCGGTCCGGAAGTCTGAACTCAAACTTTATTGAACAATCTTATCGACATTATCTTGGTAGAAAACACAAAACAGTAAGACAGAACAAACGAGCAAACTCAAGCAGCACTTCAAAATGACGATAGGTACACACAAACATCAGCGTGTTTCAGCAGCATCCTCGCGTCGCTCCGCGCTGTCTCACAGCACCCCACGGGGTCAAACCGCTACGTGGGTTCGTAACACGCTGGCCACAAAACATGGGTTACCAGCGACCAACACAAAACTCTGAGAGCAGGGGTCCATCCAACCTAATTTACAAACACAGCAGCCTTGTCAATGGCCATTAGCGCCAACCCCGCCGGCGGCAGCAGGAGCGACAGGCAGGGACAGCGCATGCAACTCGATCGCAAAACCATTCTTCTGGCATTGCTCTGCGTCTATAAAGGAGAATATCCCGCCCTCATCTACCGTTCAGGACCTGGCCGGGGACACTAACGAGACGCGGACTTTACCAACTCAGCTGAGCAGTGAGCACCCTTTCGACTGGTCCGGGGCCCAGCTCTCGCCACATGACCGAAGGCTACTGTTAGGGTGCTGTCCTGTCCTGCTGTTCTTTTGCTGTCCTCCATCAGTCGGCTCCGAACCACCAGCCTCGCTGCCGCGCCGGGGTCCAGAGAAGAAGCTGCGCTGAGACGATCTGGAACCATCAGCGGGGCTGTGAGTCCCCACCGCCATGCGGTTGCTGGGACCGGGGCGGTGCAACCACACTCGCGTCCTGACTGCGCTTATGTGCTTCTCTCCTCGGAGAAGAGTCCGGCAGCGCAACCTGACTGACCTGAGCACGCCCCGCGCGAGAAGGCGTCTGGCGTGGCGCGCCGGCCTCGACCATCTGTCACACCGCCTCGGGATTCATGATCCAGATCCGATCGAATCGTCAGATTAAAATGTCTCTTGTATGGTAAACACAGATAAAAATCCCTCCTTCTTGAGTCGCAGAAGGCCAGGGAGGCTCGACCAAGGGCTCGACAGTCTACGGAGGTCGACGACTGAGAAACGCTCCAGCAGCCGCAGTTGGTCAGCTGCTCAGCAACACTCTCCGCCAGCGAGACTGAAAACAAAAACCTTCCATGAAATGCAAATTAAGGATGGCTGAAGGATGCATGATACCCAGTAAAACGAATAACTAATCAGTAAACAAAAAATGCCACTTCCTTGCTTGGAAAATTGTATTTTAGTCACTAAATGCCATGGCAAAGGAGCTGCCTAAATCGATGAATGTCAGCAACTCGCCAAACAACCTGTGTAAAACAGTTTGTTATTGTATGTGACTCGGTAGACACAACCTTTTGACCTTAGCCTGCACTAAATATGATAGCAAATTAGTCATGCTCCATTGTCATTTTCCCCTTTGAATTAGGTAATTGTTTTTGGGAGCTGCCACAACTGCACAGATAGGCACATTAACATTGCTCCCACACACAGATTCACTTACTTGTGAGTTGCTGGGTGATGTGTCATGCCTTGGTCACCAGTCACAGAATAACTGAAGCCTCCTGGAAAAGCGCTGTAGCTGTTGGCGACTGGCGTTACCACAGCTGGTCGGTGGGACACTGTAAACAAGATGTGACTTTAAACGCTGCTCCAGGTACTTTGGTCATGATCTGTCATAACATAGTTAACATTTCTTCTAATCAAACTAGGGCCTAGGGAAGTTGGAGTGATACTCCTCCAGCATACCAATAATGCGCTAACAAGGATTGAAGAAAACATCCTAAACACCCTGGGCCCTAAAACCAATAAAAAATGAACACAAAACATCCCTACTCATTCATAATTATTATTTTTTAATTTGAAAGGAATCCTGTTCACCTAAAAATATTCAGCAAACCACTCACCAATTGCCTGACACCATAGTGCACACAGAAGTTTGAGGCCTGTGTAGTCTCTGTGCAATATTATATGTGTAGATCAAGATGAAGTACAGTGAGACGTGAGTCAGTAGGTTTTAAGTTGTAGGTTGGTAGATTGTAGGCTTTAAATTGTAGGTTTTCGGTTAGTAGGTTGTAAGTTTGTAGATTGTAGGTTGGCCGTTGGCAGGTTGAAAGTTTTTGGTTAGTAGGTAAGGTTAGGTCAGGTTAGATTTTTTATCTTCACTGTACTTCATCTTCACATTTACCGGCTGTGCGGACTGCAGGCCTGTTGGACCGGATCTTTGTAATGCAAAGCACTCGCTCATTCTAAAAGTACTGGTTGTCAAAGACAGAAGAGAAGCGGATGGCTCCCCCGTGGATGTCCAGATACTTATCAATTATGGCAGCTTACATGAGTTACAGAAGCAATTGCAGCTTCCTTTGTCCGTCTAGGCTTTAGACAATTGACCACACTTAAAACAAACAAACATGCAATTTTGTTTGGTATTGGAATACATACTAATATTTCTACATTTACAAAAGTATATGATAATTCTTATTAACTACTTGCTGGTAATAATCAGAAAAAAAACTCAGAAATGCCAGACAGAAAACTGAAAAGTATCAAATAACTAACAATTGATATCAATGAAATACCCAAATTTGCAAGCGATTGTAACACGCGCGCATTAAATGTAAAAAATAGCTAAATTTCTGCTTCAATTCCTTAAACCACTGTCATAAATCGTAATTCCCAACTAATTCACTGCTACGCTAGACCTCAAAGACTACAAGTTTTTAGGCATTGTAACCCTTACAACATGTAGAAAATGTCTTATTAAACCATTTGAGACCAAAAACGCTCCACTTCATCCCGTTTTAGTTGAGAAAACAGCAAAGAAAGTGGACGACCTTTGACGTCATTTACCTTCTGATTGGCCCAAAAAGCCTTCCCTATGGCGCAACATAGAAACGATGACCCCCGCGTCGGTCATTCACTTTCCTCCTCGCCGCGGACAACACAGCAGACTGGAGCCGGCACGCCACAAATGTCAACGCCCTCAAGCGGCGGAAAACTTCGGTTGGTAGCCGCGTGCCGCGTGCCTTTGCGGCCCAAGGTCAGCCACTCCTGAGCCACTCTGCCCGCGATTAGCCTGTTTCGGGTATTCCCCGGCCAATGGTAATTAAATGTTAAGTGATTTGCATTATTCAGCCTTGTGGCCTCTCTCCCTGTCCCTACAGGCCGTACAGGTACAGGCCTACAGCCTGCGCCCATTCTACATCCACCGGACAGGTCTTCGCGGACCATGCTTTGTTTATCATTGCTCGATATTCGATAATCGTTCCATCACAGCGATGACCGAGGAGGCATGTTTATTAGAGCCCGCAACAATATCACAATGAGGAATAGAAAGCGACCGTGCCCATAAGCCGCGTTACAAAACAGGTGCAATCACACACGAAGTCCTCCGGGCTGCCCCGCCCCCTCTGACACGTCAGCAGTCCCGGCGGGAGGGGGCGCGGCCGCCGCACCTGTCCGGCCGGGACTGGTGCGCAGCGCGGCGCCGGCCCGTCGGATCACTGCGGCTGCGGCGTGGTGCGGATGTACTTCTTGCCTGAAGGCACCTCGTGCACCTCGACACCGGCTGGGAACAGCTTTTTGGCGTCGTCCTCGCTGATAGATGGCAGCACCATGCACTTATCGCCGGCCTGGAAACACATGGGAGACCGGTGAGACGCTACGGGCGCTCACTTTCTCCGTCACTCAGAACCGACTGCAGCAGTAAGTGAGAGTGGATTGAGCAAATACAACGGATTAAAGTGCGGCCTGCATGATAATGTCCCACTGCATCGGATAAGTCGGTGTCGCCTGGCGTCATTCATTTCCCCCGCTGCCCAACGTTCCCCGTTCCACAGGTCCGAGGTGCACCGCCGCCCCAGCGGGTCACTGCCCCACGCGGGCCGGCCGCCGCCGCCAGCTGCGGGCAACCCAAGGTCAGACGGCGCGGCGACTGCCGGCGGACTGTGGGAGCCGACTCCCTCGTGGCCGGCCAGCCATGGACTCGGAGCCGACTCCCTCGTGGCCACTGGCCGGCCATGGACTCGGAGCCGACTCCCTCGTGGCCGGCCAGCCATGGACTCACGGAAAGGGTCTCTGATAAGGAATCGGAACGACCCGAGACGCAGTAGGGCCGGCCGAGGCAGGGGTGGGCTGCGGCTCGCGGTTGTAATGTGATGACTGGGGTGAAACCGATACGGTCACCCGTCACTCGACACCGCTGACAGCTCATATGTCAGCTCGAAGCCGGCTGATGCCTCCAGTGCGTCACTCTCAATGGAGCTAAAAATAGCGTTGAAAGCAAACATAACCGCTATATCAAGAACATTGATGCGGCAGTTGTGTGGGAAACTTTTCCCTCCAACGCGGCCAGGCCGTGGCTGCCGCCGGACCCGGCGGACCGCTACGCGACCGCATCGTCACCCCACCAGCTGATGGGCGTAGAACCATCCCTTCCGCCCCGCATTGCTGGAGGCCGGGGGCGGAATGCGGCAGCGGCCGCGCTGGGCCGCGCAAACATCCGCAGGGGAGGACGCGGCGCGGCGAAACCACGGAGCGGCGCAGCAGCGCGACCAGCGGAGAGTCCATGAGACCCAGGTGCCTCCGCCGGCGCGGGTGGACCCAGCCGGGCCACCTGGCACCGCCCCTGCGAGCTCATCTTCTTCATTACCTGTTACGATCACCTGGCCGGCCGACTCCCACCGTTCGGCGCCGCCTGTCACTTGGAGGGGAACAACAACAACCCCTCTGGGCAGCAATCAGGGCAGGCCGGCGGCCGGACGGACCGTTACTAGGTCGAGTCGGCGGCACCATCTACTTCCTCGTTCTGCTCTGCACTGTTCTGCTCTGCACTGTTCTGCTCTGTCCTGTTCTGCCCTGCCATGTTCTGTGCGCTCTGTCCTGCGGGACTAGCCTTGCGTGCCGCGCCCGAGGCAAATGCCAACCGCCGGAGGCGCGGTATATAAGCTGAGTCCCGCAGTGATCTCGCTCTCTTCGCGCTCCTCGGGAGCTACGTGTTGGAGTCGACTGCCCGTGCGCGTTGTGCGTCCCTCATACCTACGCACTGCAGCCATGTAAGTACTAAGTAGAAGGGTGCGGCCCTTATTGGGGCTTTGTATATAGCCGTGACCAGTGTAATAATGTGTGCGCATGTAAATAATTACCTTGAAAACTTGCACAGTCTGTTGTGGGACAAATGGTGGGGGAGAGAATGAACGGCGAACTGAACTGAACGGCACCGAACTTGGCAAACGTAACATAGAGCAGCTCGGAAGCTCAAACAAACGCTACCTTTTAAACGTCACGGTTAACTTCGGCACGCCACGCTACCAACAGTAATCCCAACCGTAGCAATGATAGAAATAAGGAACGTAACAACTTATAGAGAGAAAAAACAGTTTCACAGTGGTGACAGCGGTGGGATTTAAAACTGACTTGTTTTATTTTAAGCACGCCTAAGGCGAGCTAATTAATTTATTGTCGGTTCCGCTCCAAACAGGGCGGCGAACCCAACGTTTTTTTTGCAATATATTTCTTAGATTGTGATTTTGTTTTCCCTTTAAATGTAAGTCATGTATGTAGGTATCGGGCCGTTCATGTTCGCAGTGGTTCATCTCCCCCAGCTGTCCCGGCCAGTGGGCCAGGCGGGCGGCTCGGCCCTCGCGGTCAGTCACCGTGGGGTGCCAGCGCCGGCTCGCGGCGGTCCCGCGGCAATTAGGCCCTGCCCTCCGCTCTGTCTGATTGGTGTAGGGACGGAGGATGGGCGTGGCCAAATTGAGTGTGGGGCTGAGGGGTACCTCTGAGGACAGTGTATGTCCAGGTGTTCTTTCCGCGTCATCACTGAGGTTTCTCGGGTCCATTCGTGCTTTGTGCTGAAAGCAACGAGTTTTGAGGTGAGCGATGGAATTCGCACTTATCGAAGTCGCGATTGCCCTACCAGTGACCCGGGACGATTATTTATGAGGGACCGGCTGCCGTCTCATATTGCAAAGTGTACACGCCCCAAAAGCCCATCAACTGAGCGGTAGGCCAAGCGCGGCTTCGGGCCAAACGTTGTGTGGGGTGAAGCGCTGCTCCACGCCTGATTGGGACTGCAGCCCATCAGAGCGAAGTGGGCATAAACAATCGTCCTGTGTGAGTCAATACCCGACTAGAGATGGGTTGGTTCGGGGGTAGAGGCCGTGTGTCCATAACGCTACTCGTTTCTTATTTAGGGCTTTCAGCACAATGACCGAACCGGAAACCCGGAAACTGCGAACGGGGAACACTGACCATGGGAAATAATAGGATGACAGTTTCTTCCAGAGCATTACCGGACCACGCGTTGGTCATGATGCGAGACCGCTGCTGGAGACGCCAGCCTCGGAATGAGAACGGGCTGGAGGCGGTGGAGGAGCCGCAGCTCCGGGAGGACTATTCGTCCTCCTCGGACGCAGAGCCACAGGTGGTAGTGACCGAGCTGACTCCACAGGTCCCCCAAGAGAGGAGGCGGCGGCAGCCCACGAGGTCTCAACGGATAGGAGACCCCCTGACCGTTATAGTCCCTGAAGACCTATATGGCCTTGCCCTGAGGAAACTGAGTTGGGAGTAAAGTAAGGATAGCATTAGCAATCAGTTTGCGCCCCAGTACGATGGTACATGGCTTCAAGTGTATAAATGTGTTTATAAGGCGAACAGACATTCCAGTGGATATTGATTCCAGTGCCTTAGCACGGCTATCGTTAGCGGAGAAACAAGTACGCAGGTAGGTAACAGACTGTAGGGCTCGCAAGTCGCAAGTGTCTAAAACGTTCTTGATGGTTTAATATTGCTTACTGCCAAACATGCAAGCGTTGCAACATCGGCCAATCAAGTGGTCAGATGCAAGGGTACAGTGCATTAGCTGCTAAAGTTACCGTAACAGAAATGTGATTAAATGTGTTGAATCATTTTGCCTAGAGGACTATGATGTTGTTAATGAATGTAAAGGACGTGGTGGCCTATTTGCTCCTAACCTTGTCCAAGGTAGGTACAGCACATTTATTTTACCAAATACCGTCTGCATACCTATGCCTTCCGGCGAAGTCAATGTCTTTTTTCAGTCAGTCTAAATGGAGTGCCATGAATAAGAGTGAGCGCTGCCAGAAGGCCAATAATTGCATCCGAACGCTGAACTGCCGAGACTAACTAGAACGCCAGGTAACGGTCATAAAAGTACAGCTCTATCGAAACAAGCATATTTGAACAACTAGATCAATTCCGCGGCAATGTCCATCCCTGGCCGTTTAAAAATGACGAGATTTGAGCAACGATGTTCTGAGCAAGCTCAGCCTCCCGCGATATCATGACTCACAGCTGTCCGGTGTATGGAGCGTCGGCTCTAGTTGCAATACCTACTTGCAGTGGCAGATAGCCAAGCGCCAAAGGGTTGCAAAGACAGCCCAGGCAGCACAAAGTGCACACCTGCTGCTCGCTCTTTGGGACCCTACAGCAGTGAAACCCATCGGCGTCCACAGCGGTGGTCTCCGTCTTCAACATGGGTCGACTCCATTGCAGATAGGAGGAGTTCGC